AAGGTATTATATATTTACGAGATTATAATAACTCCTTACTAAGTGGTTTACTATAACGTTATGGTAAATATTTTTTATAGTAATCCAACTATCGTAAATATGTATTGACATTATCGTAAATTAGTATATAAAATTATTGTAAATAGAGGTGGCTACAGAATAACTTATTTTGTACTCAATTCATTCCAAATTGTAAGACGTTTGACTTTTTTGACACAAAGTTTGACCACTCGTCTTATTCAAAAATTTGTGTAAATTATCACTTCTTTCGTCGTGGTTTGGTTTATTAATAAAAGTTCTTCAAGAATGACTTAAATTTGACTACATTTGCACAATTTTTTTTGAATAAGACTAGTGATCAAACTTGGGGCAAAAAAGTCAAACGTCTTATAATTTAGGATGGAGTAGTAGCTGGCTACTGAATATACTATATATATATATATATATATATATATATATATATATATATATATATATATATATATATATATATATATATATATATATATATATATATATATATATAACGAGAGAGAGAGAGACACGTAGTATCGTGCAATGCCACTAGCATGATCAAGCAGGTCCTTGGTGTGGGACCGTGGGTGGTTGACTAGGCTGGTAGGCTGTTGTTGTTTTTGCTTCAGTCAGATCCTTTTCTTTCCGAATCCGGAAGGTAGATAAAAGAGAAGGTGAGGAGACCTGTCAGGGTCCTTTTCGGGAAAGCGCCGGCGTGGCGAGGCGACTGACGAGACGCAGACGCACCTGCATGCGGCCGGCCGGAACAGAAGCACTGAAGCAGAACCACCAGAACACAGAAGAGAACAATCGCGCTGGAGCTGGCCGGGCCGATGCAAGAGCGAGACCTGGCAGAAAAGGACGGCCGCCCACTGCTGCCGCTTAATCGCCGACGATGGGAGATTACTACTACTAGATACCGCGACGACACAGCGAGAGTTTCTGGCGACCCGATGGCTTCACTTTGTGTACCGTGCGTGAATAATCGTGATCGCTTCACTGTCTTGTCAGCAGCAGATCGCAACGTACCACCATCCATCCATCCATCCATTGTCTCTCCAACTCCAAGACCTCGTTTAGATTGAGTTAGAAATCAGTATTCGGTACTGTAGCATTTTCATTTATATTTGACAATTATTGTCCAATTATGACTTAACTAGGCTCAAAAGATTCGTCTCGTAATTTACAATCAAATTATGTAATTAGTTATTTTTTTATTTATATTTAATACTCCATATATGTATTCAAAGATTTGATGTGACGAAGAAAGAATGAAAAAACTTACCATCTAAACGAGGCGCAAGTGCGCTCCCACCACCTACCTGCATCATGCATGGATCATGGATGCCGTAGGCTGGGCCCCACGGCCGGGAAAGGGAAATGCCGATGCTTGGTGCGCAGGTGTGTAGGAATTCCACTGCCCTTGAGATTGATATGATACTAGTACAAAGGACGCGCCCCTGCGCGCGAGTGCAAGTATCTTTAGGTTTACTAGTCCTTCGGTTTACTAGTCTTTCGGGCGCCTCCATGCGCGCGGGCCACTGGTCACGTTTTTTTTGAAAAAAAAAGATATAAGTAAAGTTGGCCTGTATATTGATTTGAGAAAAATCCGAGGAGGTTTGCGTAAAAAATGATGAGAGGGTTTGTGGAGCGCGGGCTGATTTTCGACAAAGATAAAGGTTTTTTTTGAAAAAAAACCCGGCAGCCATCCGTTCTGGACCGTGGGTTGATTTCAAAATAATCTGAGGTGTTTTTTGCAAAATATCCTAAGAGAGACTCTGGAGCGCGGGTTGATTTTTGGAAAAAAGAAGGGTTTTTTTGAAAAATAACCACGGCTCGCTCGATCTGGGCCGTCCGCACGGCGATCGAACGGCCACGAAAAGCAGACGACGTGGACAGCCTCAGAGCGCGTGTTGGCCACAACAAATGTAAACTTTAAATACCGCATAAATGTACGGATCGGTAAATGGCCGAGACCATTCTCAGATATTAGAAAGTCTTCGGGGCCTCTAAAAATCCTGTCTTCGATCAAAAAGATGCTAGATAAATGCTTGTGCGTTGCAACATAAAAAAAAACAATGGCACAATAACATATGTATAAAATGTTACACTTTTACCTAAAAAATTACGAGCCTAATGTTCAGAACATCACTGGTACATAAATCTTCATTAAAGTTAAACAGTTAAAATATAATGTGAAACATTAACATTACAAAGGCTTCATAAAAGATCGACAATTAGAATACTACAAAGTCTGTAGCTGAGAACCCTGCTCGTGTCTGTGGCTGTTCCAGCATCCCGCAGGTGCACCAAAAGGCCTTTAATTCATGTAGCTAAGCAACAATTTGAAAACAATCCACCTCAGGAATCACAGGAAATAAACCATTGAACAGGAAATAGGGCATGTTTCACATCGATTGGAATCACTAAGTAGTAAAATTTCTCACTGTATGGCTCAATGTGCAGCAGCAGGGGGGCAACCAGGTAAGGGCACAAGAGCTAGGCTGTATGGTATTTCATCCTATAGTTAGTTGTAGGATTGGTTTTACAGCTATTTCATGATGCACATACATTTAAAATCAAAATCATTGTCTCCTGAATCGCTCAATATGGAAAACTTTATTAGCCTAATAGTTTGTGTTTTTCGGGAGAAAAATAAAAGGTCCAATCATTATATTATCCTCATGGGAACCAGTGAGGACAAAAAAAATGCAGTGGACACCAGAATTCAATTGTGCTACTGCAGCAACATACATAAAGGCTACACATATGGACCAGAGGAGCACTATTGTCCACTGAAAATCAAAACATCAGCATGCTGCTATACCTGACTCCTGTTGTAAGTCTAAAACTGAACAACTGAAAAACGCATCACCTAGTTGTTGTGAAATAATTCAGATTAAAACCAAAACATTATCTATTTTAGTTGAGCAAAGCAAGTTACTGTGAACTGATAATGGGCTGCCGCTGCTCTGGTAAAGCACTGAAACACTACACAGGACTTAAAAAATGAAGCAGCCATCCAGCCACTATGTGAACTAACAATTTTGCTACTGAACCACTACACATGCATCTCGCGGCACAGGGCGTCTTGGCGTGGCCCGCTTGGCCGCTTCGCCTGTGCGGCCGCCGCTGCTCTGGATGACTGGGATCCCTTCCGCCTCACGCAAGCGGCGGTTAATTACGCCGGATCCTTTAATAATTCCAAAATATCCAAGCAAGCTACTGTACCAGTCTCTGCTTCACTGCACTGGCTTGGCCTTGGTGCCACAGAGACTCGCCGATAATTGAGCTTGAACGCTCTGGTGGGCCCGCCCGTGGTAATAAGGCACTGTTTAGTTCCAAAAAATTTAGAATCTTGCGGCACATGCAAGCATTAAATGTAAAAAAAAAAATTAATTGCACAGTTTGATTGAAAATCGCGAGGCGAATCTTTTAAGACTAATTAGTCCATGAAAAGCCTTAAGTACTACAGTAACCCGCATGTGCTAATGACCGATTAATTAGTATCATTAGATTCGGCTCGCGGTTTTCTGATAGGCTATGTAATTTATTTTTTTATTAGTATCCAAAAACCCCTTCCAACATCCTTCCGACAAAAAAATTTTCACCTCACCATCTAACACCCCCTAAGTTTAATCCGACAATATTCAGAAGTTCTGAATAAGTTTCCGTACGCGACATCGGCCCTAGGTAGCGTCAGAATTGAAATGGCTCCCTAGACAAGTTGTTGGTCCACCCGGGGATGCTTTCTTCCTTTTTCTTTCTGCGTGCCGTTACCAGGAGGGCGGTTCAACTGCTCAAGAGTCAAGGCGACACTGGCCTGCGCTAGTGCCCGAGAGTGAAGAGTCAAGCCGAAGAGGGGTATGTACGCCAGTGGACAGGTTTGTCGTTGCTGCCTGCGAGCCGCAAACCGCTAGTATGCCCTAGTACTCGCAGGATGTACCAGTACGATCCAACAAGCGACGACGTTGTCTGACGGTACCAGTCGCAGGAAGCACTGCACAGCTGCAGCGTTTGGACAAGCTGCCAAGGTCAGGCAATCAACCCCCTACTACTCATGGGCCGCGGTGAGTTCATTCGTCCGCGTCACCACGACACCACCTGTTATTGCTGCTGCTGCCTCACTTGTTAGAGTGCCAGACTACTTTTTAGAGTGCATCGGCAGCTCTCGCAGTCTCACCAGAAGTGAGAGCGAACGATTCGGTGATCGTCGTTACCCGCCCTGCAAAGTGCAAAGGCGTTCAGACGGGGATGATGGTCCAGCCACTGCCGCTTCCCACGCTGTTACAATTCCCCTACCCACCTGCCGGCCGATGAGATACGGGGGCGGGGGCCCGCCTGCAACAATTGAACACGTCGGGCACTGCTGAGCGAAACACCAGTAGTCCAGTACACCACCCACCCCACCGCACCTCATGCGGCACCAGCACGCCCACACCACACTGCAGTCTGCAGAGAGAGACACAGGCCAAATAACACCATGCTCATTCCCAAACGGGTAAAATGGGCTACTCGTCTACTCAACAGAAGCCTCGCTTGTCGGCTACTCGCTATCATTGTTACACTGCAAAGTATCAAATCCAAAAGGCACGGCAACAGTCGATCTACTCACCGCCGACCCCGTCCTGGCGATTGATGGCGGCGTCAGGGTTCCAACTTCCAAAAGTCAGCGCTCCCCTACTCATGTTCATATCTGTCAGCGTTTAGATCTGGAAAAGAAACCTGAGGTCCCCCTCTGTAAGCTTCGACATGGCATCCGGCGAGTCGCCCACGGTGCTGCAGCAGAGAGAGAGAGAGAGGACATGGCAGCATCAGCATTCACAGGACAATTTGCCCTGTTAGCTTGGCTGATAAGCCATGGCTGAAAGTATTGTTGGTTGATTTGTTGTGAGAGAAAAATACTTTTCGTTGGCTGAAAAAGTACGGTTTATAGTAACACTCAAATATTAGTAGTACGCGTTACTGGATTAGAGGTCCAGCTGTTACCCTTCAAACACCAGATGCTTCTTCTCTTGCAGTTGCAGTATGCGCTCTTCAACCGTGTCCTTTATCACAAACCTAGTGCTCCTGCCCAACCACAACAGGAAGGGTAGTTAGAAAGGGTGTTGCACCAGTGAAAACATGTCCAATGATTCCACTAATCAGAATTGCGAGCTCTACTCAACTTGATTGGCTTGAACTGTCCGATTCGGTGGATACGATCCTGCGCTTGACTCTCGACTGCTGGATTCCACCAAGGGTCCATCAGGAACACCTATAATCCAGCAAGGCATAAATCCACTATCAGAAATATAAACTCTGTTTCCCCTGTAGAGTGTACTGCAAGTTTAAGAAATTATTGCTGTGTAAAAGTAAGTTGGCAAAGAAAGAAGATTGGCTAAGCTCACATGAGATGCTACAGTAAGATTCAGAGCGACTCCGCCAGCTTTCAGGCTCATCAGGAAGATCCTGCAGTCTGGATCATGGGTGAAGGTGTCTATGGCTCTCCCTTTTTCAGTAATGTTCATGGCTCCATTCAGCTGGACACACTTGATGCCAGACTGCCAAATCATCGTAAATTAGTTGAACTCTCAACAGACAAGGACGCATTGAGAAAAAGAAACTATTAATGCTTACCTTCTCCAGTGAAAACTGAATCAAATCCAAGAATGATGTAAACTGGCTGAAGACAATCCCTTTGGCAGAACCATCGTGATCAGTCATGTTTCTTATCTCCTCTCTCTGCAAAATAAGGAGAAAGGATCAGGGATAAGTAAACCGATCACAGCCACTATTGGTGTAATACTCATAAGTTGATGCACTACAGAACAGCTGCATTTTACTGGTGTGGTGAGCCATGAGGCAACAAATAGGCACCTTGTGGTTTACTGCTAGTAGATCCAAGGGAGACTAAGTCTCAAAAGTTCCATGGCATTAGGACAAAATGTAACATATAGGCTTCCAGGTCCGTAGTGAGTTTGAGGTTGTATATGTAGCCATAATGTGCTGTATAGACTAAACTCCCAAGAAACATAAATATACAACTGATACATGTTGTGGGACTAGTCCCTTCATTGATATACTTGTGCTTGTGCAATCTCCATTAGGTTTGCTGGGTTCCATATAGAACATGTAGACAAATATTCAAATAGCTCCAGCTTTCACTATGCCTAAATATAACTGTATTTGGTTTTGTTCATTGAATCTGTGCATAAAAACATGGCACCATAATACAATTAGGCACAAAGAAGTACAATAAGATACTATAGCAACAGTCTGGCTTACCAAGGCATCAATTTTTGTACTAGTCTTAAAATCTACAAGGCTTGGTAGTCTGCTCAATATTCCTGAGCATTTGCGACCCTTGACACTTTGAGTTACTTTTCCAGCTGAATTTTGTGCTGTTAAGTCCACGGTGAGAGGTATTGAACAGGACGGACATGAAACATTCCCCAAAGCTGCAGAGTAGTCTATCAAACAAGTCTTGCAGAATGCATGATCACAAGAGGTAACCTTGGCCAAAAATAAAATAGAATCAATCAGCGAAAGATTGAGCCACCTTGTGATCAGTGGAAAACAAGAATAAGCATCATGAAGGCTTTACTAATTATTCTCAATTATTTTTGGAGGCGCAAATTACTAACCACAACATCTTCAGCCAAACTATGACATATACCACATTGGCTTTCCATGGTGTCATTTCCTTCATTCTTCATTCCTTCAGGATGTTCTGCTGTCTTAGAATATGCTACAAGATAAGGATGATCAACAGCCTACAGTTTTGTCAGGACAAGCAAACTATTACATTCCCAAACAAAATTAGTTGCAGGTGTATTCTATATGAGTATGAACAAATGGATACCCCTGTCCCCCCCTCTACATTAACATGGCAGATGGACATAGGGCATTCTGAGCCTACGGAGATTTGTGCATCCATAAAAAGATGTTATATAGCTCACCTGTCTCAACCTTGTGAGAAGATCGAAGATATGAGCATAGTTATTCATCAGTGTTCCAGCATCTACATATCTGAAGATAAAAAGGCGCAAAGGTAAAAATCTCTGAGTACTGCACGGAAAAGCAAGTGGAGGAAAAGAACAGCTTAACAAATGCCATCTGCTGAAGACAAAAAAAAAAAATGCTCCACTTCAAATGGAAAAAACATTAATTAACAAGAATTTTCTATAATACTTGCTTCTGCTAGGACATAAACACAATTCTGGTGAATGATGATGTTGCCATGGGTTATGAAAATGTGGGAAGAGGTCACTGGGACATTAGTTGTTTGCAACGATGGAACACTGATACCAACTGCCGGAACATAGTAGCTAGAAAAGTGGGTTCATTGCTCAGATCAAATTGAATATCTAATTTTTGGAGGAGCATCGTCACTACACCACAGAAATCTGCTGACTAGTCTGTAACTCCATATGCAAAAGTAGGAAAAGAGAACTTACGCATCAAATTGTGTGACACTTTGAGTATACAAAGCTTCATAGAATTCCATTTCATTTTTATCAAAACAGTCCCGCCTCAGTGTCACCTATCATGTAAAAATTAACTGCTTGAAAATGTATGCAAATGAGGGGAAAAAAAGGTATTGCAATACTGTGTTTGCACCCTTCATGTTACACACATGAAGACGTGAGTAATTGCACACTCACAATCTTTGGTGGAAGAGCAAGATCTGCCGCTCGGCCTTTTTTTGTGCGCCTTAACACTATGCCTTTCAGAGAACTTTTCCTTCAGAAGAGTCATGGCTCTTTTGCCTTCAAGAGTTGTTGACCCGTACTGTATTGGCGTTGATATGTACTATCAAATAATGGCTTTCTGTCAGCATACTGTCACGACAAATAAAAAGCGTGCAAAACTGTAGTGACATAATCAGACCCTGTACCCCACCTTATTCCACCAGCAAAAGTGCCTAACAGATGAGTGACCACAGTCGCATTGTTTCTTCATACTGCAGGAGAATGGAGGTACACTGGTCAGGTCCTCAATCTAAAGGAACAAATAAAGATCTGATGGAACGGTGCGAGCTCATAGCCTATGTGATATAATTGCAAGGGAATAACATTTGTTTTGTGCTTTCTTCCTAAACTATTTGATTATTGTAACTTGTATATTACTGCCAAATCATGTTTACTTAAGCTGAAAACTATATTTGTCTTTTTCAAAGGTAATGGGTGTTAGCTTCACCAGAAAAAGCTTCAGTAAGGCATTGCACACCTACCTGGTATCTAGTATCTCACAGCTACAGTCCTTGCAGAAATAGTTTGAGTAGGGGAAGATTTGCAAGAACCGAATCTGAGAAAACAGCATGTAAGAATTCATAATCTAGAAGGAATTATATTTGTTTATTCAGGTATCAGTTACAGACAAGCGAGTAAAGTTCTCCAACACGGTTCTGCAAAGGTGTCCCACTCAGAGCCCACTTGTATTCTGACTCCAATTCAAAAACAGCCCGTGCAGTATTACATCGTCTATCTTTTATGAAGTGAGCCTGCACAAAAAAGAAAGAAAGAGTAAGTCATTAAGCATTAGGATCTTGAGATGTCCAATTGTTAAGTCCAGAATATCGATGCACACATCCAAAAACATCACTATATTACGCGTTGCTGGAGTTAGCACAGTATGTTTCCCACGTATAACTATTTGTGTTATTAATTGTTAAAAGTTCCTCAGATCATATCCATATTAAACAAAAACATGAGTACATGGCCTTACGCTTCTAAATATTCACTTCCACTAGAATTAACCAATTATCTCCATAAACTACTAAACCATACCAAGGGAAAACATAATGCTTGAAAAAATATGAATGGTTAGACCTGGGACCAGTCTATGAAAAAATTTAGGAGGGGCTGAACAACGGCAATTAGCAAGTATGGAAAGGTTGGCATAACAACAAATCTCAGCCCCTCCTACCTACACATCTAGAGCTGAAATTGCATAAGACGGCTGTTTCACGGGCTGCACTTGCTTTCATGGTGCAGTAGGGGGGCTGGAGCTGAACATGGCCACCGCTGGCTCCGTGCCTGGTTAGACCTGACACCAGTCTATGGATAACATCCCTTGCATGGTTACGTATGACACAAGACTACTGGTCTACATCTCAGTTGACAGATGTTGGCATAACAAGGATATTCAATAACACCAGATGTACTACACAAAATGCAGTTGCATAACTGTCTGTTAAATTTTCTTCATCTGCACTATCTACATGGTGCAGCAAGCCAGTAACATTCGTATGCAAATGCTGAACATGGCCTGGCCTGGCAAGGCCAGCGAAGGAGAGCCAGATTGGCTCGCCCAAGCAAATAAAATCTAAACATGCCTACTTCTCCAACTTGCCGGCGAGGCTAGGCAAGATGCTAGAAAGGGATCCAAGCACGCCCTACAATATGCTTGCAACGATTGCAGTTGAACAATAACTCCTTAGTGTATTGCCTAAGCAGCAGAAACCCCTAATAATACAAATAATAAGTTGAAGATAGCTTGTGAATACAGTGGAGATGGCATTTTCTGACCTGATCTATGATATCAAATTTTCGTGGAGACTACCATTGTGTTTTCCTTAGAAGTATAAAGCCAGCTTAAAATTCTATAGCTGGATGGGTAACTGATATTAAATCAACTAATCAACAACCCTTATTGCAGTGAATAAATCAAAGAAACAGTTGAAAACAATTGTTCCAGAATTCTGTTTCTTTATTTGATCCTTTCATGAGTAGTTTTCTAATTGCAATGATAAATTTTATCACTTAGAAACATCAAAATGCAGCATGAAAGGTACATAAATCACCTCATCCAGGATAATACGCTCCCACCGCACAGAATGCAGAGCAGATTGGCCCCTCGACTGGCTGCCCGATTCATCAGCCAATTCTTGAAAATCCATATTCGCCTCATCACCCTTCTTATGAACCCTTCTCTTCCCCCTCACCTTTCCCTTGCTGCTGTCCCACTTCTTGCTCTGCTGCTTAGCCTGAGCTTCCGTGCGTATAGCATTAGGCCCACAGTGATACTTCAAGTGCACCTTCATCTTGTTGGGGTAAAACAATTTATTGCAGTATTGGCACCGAATCTTGGGTGGCATGATGTACTTCCGGTAGTCCACCTCGATGGTGGAGTAGGGAGATCTCTGAGTAGGTGGTGATAACAAAGTCATAGCTGTTGAAATCGAACTTCTGAGCACCACGTTTGGCACCGTGGTAGATGAGCACACGCACGCTGCCACTAGCAGTGTGGCGCTCGATCTCCTCGGTCCACTGGATGACGGCCACCACCGGGCAGACAACCAGCGTGCACCCGACCTTCGGGCGGCCCACCGAGGAGTTGGACGAGGAGGCCGCGGAGTGGTGGTCCGGGGGGTGGAGTCGGCGCGCAGTAAGGACGAGCGAGATAGCCTGGATGGTCTTCCCCATCCCCATCTCGTCGGCGAGGATGCCGCCCCGCGAGATGGATGCCTCCTGCGCGAGCGCCCACGCGAGCCACTCCTTCTGGAAGCGCAGCAGCGAGAGCACCACCTCCGGGGCCGGGTCCGCCGTCGGCACGGCCGCCGGAGCGGCTTCCGTGGACTCGCCGTCCCCGTCCCCGTCGGCCGCTTCAAGCTCGTCGAGCCAACTGTCGTTGGCCACTTCCCACTCTTCCCACGGCAGGGGCGGCGCGTCGTCCCTCGCCTTCTTGCCCCGCCTCCTTGTCCGCGCCTGGTTCTTAATCCGGATCGGCACCGGCGGCACCATCGCGGGCACCGGCGGCGGCAGGGGCCGTCTCGGGCACCGCGGGCGCGGGCGGGGCGTCCTCATCGGGCGCGAACCCCTCGTCGCTGTCGTCGTCGTCGTACTCCGCCTCGTCCCCAGAGTTGGCGACGAAGTCGGTGTCGGAGGTGTCGTCAGAGGGGAGGTCGTCATCATCCTCCTCGTTGCGGCGGCGCCGGCGGCCGCTGCTGGATCCTGCAAAGGAGGAGACGAGGGTTAGGGTTCCGGCGGATGAGGTTAGGTTAGCGACGGGGATTTCAGGTTAGGCGGCGATTCACCGGAGGAGGGGTTCCTACCTCGGCGCGGCATGGCGGCGGCCCGTGAGGAAAGGAGGGGTGGCCTGGTGGGGGGAGTGGTTAGCGACTGTGAATGGAAGGGTGATTTGGGGTGGGGATTTGTTAGTGTAGTATTAGGAGGTTTCGGGCTCGGCCGTGGCCCGTGGGGAAGCGAATTGGCGGGAACTTGCTGGGGAAGGAGCCCGCTTCCGTTTGTTGTCGGCCGGGTCAGCGGGGAAGTGTGCTGCGGAAGGAGGCCCGGTGGGGCGGAGGCGACAGGTGCGGTCTGCGGATGGGCCAGCGTATACGGTATGCTCCTTCGGTTTAGAGCCCGCCATTCAGGACTTGGGATACACGTTCGTCAGTTTATATGCTACACCAAGCTTCCTTCGTTGCACGATCTATCTGTTTGTTTATACTTGTATAATTTTGTACTTGTAGTCATATTATATACTCTCTCCGTTTCAAATTATAAGCCGCTTTGATTTTTTAGTCCATCCATTTATTATTATATCTATACAAAAATCAAAGCGACTTATAATTTAGAACGGAGGGAGTATATAATTGCAATTTCCATAAGATCTGGTGGAGACAAAGGGCCTTGGAACAGAAGGCTTGCTTGGTTGAAGAGGTGGTGTGACGAACGGAAGAATAATTAGATGAACCATTTATGTCATGCTAGATGAATCATTTATGTTACGTTTGATGAACTATTTATGTCGTGTTAGATGAACCTATTTTGTTATGTTTGATCTTTGATGAATCGTATTAGTGAACTTGAGGTTCCGTGAGAATTTTATGGACAGTAAGTAAGCTACCAACTTAGTAAATATGCTGACATAAGAGAGATGATCAAAGTTTCATCGGAATAAAACAAGTTTTATAGAGAGATAAAAATTGCTCTACACCGTCTCTAACACATGGAAAACCCCATAGAGATAGAGACTAGCCTCATATTATGTGTTGATGGATCATTTATGTCATGTTTGATGGACCTATTATGTTATGTTTTATGAACCGTTTATGGTCATGTCTGTAGATGATTTCAGGCAGACACAGTGACGGGGATGATACAATTTTTAAGATTGTGCTCAAGCAACAAAGTAGGCTCAAAAAGTATGCAATAATTGCAAGTGTGGTTGATACGTATCACGATGAGACCTACCTAAACAATCACAACAGCAACATCGATCTACTGGTGGGGTGGTTCAGCAGATAGCCAAGCAATCCATTACACCCTGTTTGGATATTGGTATTGAGCTTGGAATTGGGGAATTGGTATTGCATCTCTTCAATACCACACGTTTGGATGCTTTGGCATTCGATATTGGAATTTGACCCCCAATTCCAATTGGTATTGTCACAACACAAAACAACGCACCTCCAATATGGATGAGCTCGGTATTTGTTGGAATCGGTACCTAGGTGTGTAGGGGCGGAGCCGGGGCATTTGAGGCGAACCTCGCCGGCGTGTGGGAGGGCGGAGTAAGCCGCGCTCATAAATCGTGCGATGTAGGGAGATGAGCTAGGGCATGGAGGGGCGAACCTCGGCGGAAAACAAGAGGGCGGAGAGAGATAAAATTCTCTCAACGTGTGTGTGTAGGGGCGGAGCCGAGGCATGGGATTGGAGGCTCTATGATGGGCGCGAGGAATTTGGCGGGGTGGAGGGGCGGCTTCGCCAACAGTGGGATACTTTGCAGTTCAATGCGTGAAAAGGCGAGCTCGGAATGCTCGGGTGAAGCTTCGCTGCGTGTGCTCCGGTGGATCTGGCGTGTGGAGGTGTATATGTCGCCGGTGGTGGAGAGGATGGACCTATTATGTTAGGTTTTATGAGGTTTGGTGGATGATTTCGATTTCCTAGGACCAATTTAAAGACATCCAAACACCTGGAATTGGAATCACAGTCCAATACCATTTTAGCGTGGTATTGATTTGGAAACCGAATTCGTTGACCTAATTTCAATGCCAACATCCAAACGGACCCTTAGAGGTGTTGGCAAGACCTTACCCTCCCAAAATGCCGGGGAGGTATGTGTTCCAGGGACATTAGGCACTTCAATGTGGTGAGGTGGGAAGCAAGCACTTGTTTAATTTTGGCTAAAACGATTAGACGATCATGGATTATTATCTTACCTCCCAAAAATTTGGTTTGGTGTGAGAGAAAAAGGACATTAGGCACTGGAAATTTACGATCGTTTATGACCAAGCGAACAGGTCGAAGGTTGGCGGCTCTTGGCAAGCCCAAAGTCGTTATGTGCCCATGTGATCAAAGGGAAATACTTTGCCAACCAGGACTTGTTAGCTAGAAACAAGAGGAATGCCCATGCGATCCTGGTGGGTAGGCAGGCACTGCAATACGGGTTGATGAGACGTATTGGCAACGGTGAATCAACTAATATCTGGTAGGATTGGTGGATACCAGGAGCCACTGGCGGTAGGCCAATTTGCCCAAAACCGAATGCTTCAGCAGTTCAGGTTAGTGAACTCTTGTTTACAGATGGCGGTGCTGGGATGATGAGGCACTAGAAGAGAACTTGCTACATATGGATGCACAAGCAGTGAGAAGAATCCTATTAGGGAGACAACAAGAAGATTTCAGGCAGCACTCAATGGTTAGCAATGATCATGATCCCTATTGGCAACGGCTTTGGAAATGCAAGGTGCCACTAGGTTTTGTCTCCCATGATTTCGTCCATCCCGAGCGAACCTCCACCGTCGGCGCATTGAGCCGATAGAACATGCGGCTTCTGCGGCAGAGAAGAGGAGTCTAGGTAACGTTTGCCATCAGCGGCATCAGGTTTTGGAAAAACGTGAAACTGACAAGAGAAAAAAAAAGAGATATGTAACGTTCCTTTTCGCCTTGTTTGCTTTAACTTATCAGCCCGGCTTATCAATCATATTATAGTGCTTTTTTTCGCAACAAAACGGCATCGAGACTTATAGCCGGTAGAAACACGCCAGTTTCTCAAACACTGGCCGAGCGCAAATTTGAAAACCCTCGATCGGGTCCTGGCGTCCAACGAAGGAGCGGTTCTTCAGAGCCCAGCCCAAAACCCCCGGTAACCTAGCTTCAGGCACCGCTGGCCGCGTCCCGTCCCCGACTCGAGTGGTGCTCGCGAGTCGCCCTAACGGCCCGTGCGGCCATGCCCTCATCCTTGCGCAGTCACGTTGCGAGTCGTGACTGGCCCCCGCACGGCGCCCCGCCCTCCGCGCCAGCTCCGCCTGGCCCTGGCACCCTCCTATCACAACCCATGGCCGCCGGTGAGATCAATCCGGTGACGTGAGCTATCACAGGAGAAAATCGGAGGATAGGATCTCAATCGCGAGGAGGAAGAACACCTTCTGACCCATTCGTGTTTCGGATATTTTACGCTCCCCTCTCCTCTCTGGCTTCTCTCCTATATACCACCACTATTCGCCACCACGGGCTGGTTTCAGTTTGTCTGGTCTTTGGTTTATTGTGAGAGAAAAACATTGTTGACACGATTTGGGTGGTTGAAACCAACCACAGGCCTATAGCACAAACCCACAAGGCCTACAACCCATTATATCGAGGCCCATATATCCTGCGGTATGGGGTATGACATTATACGCCCCCCACAAAACATTGCTTGTCCCCGAGCAATGGCTGGAATGAAGCGATCATGATTGCCACCGGATCCCATGGTACATTCAAACATATTGCTAACAATTGCCCTCCTAATGTCATATAGGGTGTCTCCAAAGACAGTTAAGGTGCGGCATCATCTTTTAGTACTCATAGTTGGAAGCCAGACCCAGAAACGCTCCCTTGGATCATACCTTTCTGCTGATTCCAGGTACACGCTTCCATCATAGCCACCAGACGTATGGACGACTCCATTTAGTTCAGATGCAAAGAAGAGCAAACCGACAGAGCAGCATAGATGGGCTACATATCCATTTCCCAAGGTACAGATCATATATCTCAACTTCGGAATAAGTTTCATTTCCATCTCCATTACTAGCATATATTTTCTCATTAGGACAAATTCCAGCAAGACTTCCTTTCTTCAGGTTCAAGGAGGGGCATTTCGTCCACTCATAATTCCTCAAGCTATTGCACATGCTTCCAAGATGAGATAGTGAACAGTCAAATTTGAACTGTAACTCATCTACAACGTATTTTAGTTGCTGAACTTTCCTTCTTGAGTCTTTAGCTACTGCCCTCAATGAAAGTATTTCTTTGTCTGACCCAATCAGTTTCTCATCAAAGTAATCTCCACTTTGAGCTAATTACTGCAGTAAACCATGGTGCGTGCCAATTTCAACCTTTCCCCTGTCCACATTCAAGCACTTGTCTAACTGAGTTTCTTTCTGCACTAGTGCAACATGCCAGTCAAGGTCATGCAGCCTTGGATGTCCAACATCGATTGGATCAAGCTGCAAAGCTAGCTTGCCAAATCGTGCAAGGTCACAGGTGTCCCTGTTGATGAACGTGACAAGCTGTGTATCATCAGATTGACACAAGGTAAAAATATCACCCAAAGTGAATGCATTAGGAATTGATATCATATCTGCAGCTTCTTTATATAACTCTTGGAACAATGATAATCCAATAACTTGTGTGATAGTATTGGCAATCTTGTAATCCCACAACGCACCAGTGGTGAGTACCTCGATGATCTCCTCAGCGAGGGTCTCCACCTCATTGGCAGCATTAATAGTCTTCTCCACAAAAAGGTAGGAGCC